TATAGCAGCATATATGTTGTTGGTTTCAAGTCCTTAGTCTGAACGGAAAGCCGCGCTCAGACAATATGTTTAGTCGGAAAAAACAGGGTCAAACCCTTCGTTAACAAACAAGGTATAAAGTGTTGCAGTAAGAATTACACCATATAAGAAGAGATAAAGAAAGGAGAAAGATATCAATATAATCATGTCTAGACTCATGCAAGATTAGTATTGAACCTATGAGTTACAAGCACTTATTTCTTGATATTATGCTTCATATACCCAAAATCTGTAATCCGCCAAATAGGATAGTATTAAGGTAATAAATACAAACGTTAACACAACAAGTACGAGCCACAAACATAATTTGCAGCTATACAACAAGGAAATCAACATTTTAATAATAATAATCAAATTTTAAATTACTACTCAGATGAGGACGAGTCACTATATACCTTATTCTTAACCAAGGGCTTGACTATGTTTTCTCCAGCTAAACACATAGTCTGAGCGCAGCTTTCAGTTTAGACTAAGGACTTGAAACCAACAGCATACATGCTGCTACACATAAGGGTTACCACAATCCTAGCATGTTACTTTTGAAAGAGAGAGCACAACCTAGTTTCCTTTCCTACCTCTAGGCGTAGCTTGATAAAGAAATAAATATATAATGCATAATATCAATAAATAAACTACATACTGAAGACAGATATTGGAGAAAGAAAGAATTTACTCCATAATTAAATAGAGAAATTTACAGAGATATTTTTACAACACAAAATTCCAAGCCGGATGAAGCTCTAATACCACCTTAACATCAAAATTTTACAAAGAATATTACAAGCACACTTCTCTCTTATTTTTATTAAAGACAAAGAAAATTGATGGATTCTATACAAGACTTATATAGATTTCTTCGGACTTCAAATTCCCAAATTTGTTTCTCAATTTAGCAGATGACCCTACTCGATGGAGGAATCTTGCCTTTTCTTTAAAGTAGTGGTCTCGTGTCTTTTACTTTTTGAAAAGCAAAGACAAGGTGACATCTTATTTTTGGAAAAGTGTCGACATCTGCTTTTTTGAGTGACATCTTTTCCAAAAGCATTTTTTGGAGAGTAGACGTAGCTTTCACAACTGTCGTGATAGAGGGCATTACGAATGAAACCTTATGTCGTTTGGTCTCAAAACTGCTCCTCAAATATTTTAAAAATTGATGAATAGCATTTTTGGACATATCCTTTTCATTGTTGTCTATATAGACGACATTCTAGTATTCTCAAAAACAAAAGAAGAATACAAAGAGCACCTGATAGCAGCAGCACAACTTTTGCTCAATCATGGAGTCATTCTATCCTCTAAAAAAGATATCTTATTGAAGAGGATATCAAATTTTTAGAAAAAAGAATTAGATGTGATCATGTTAAATTGCAAGACCATATCATTACAAAGATCAAAGAGTTCAAAGAAAAAAAATTAAAACTCTAAAAGAATTGCAAAGCTTTTAGGATTACTAAATTATAGGAGAAGGTATATATTTAAACTCTCTAGAAAAAAATTCACTTTAAAATAAGCTTAAGAATAGAAAAGATATAAAGACAAATAATAAAGGTATAAACAAACAGGACACCGATAAAATTAGAATAACCCTTAATGATGAACAATTAAAAAAATTATAAACATCAAAATGAAATAAAAGAACAAAAAATTCTTTATCGGTCACAATCTAAAGATATATTAGTTATCAAACCGATGCTTCAGATACACACTGGCTAAAATCTTATTTACATTTCCTCCCAAACATCCGCTAATTGTTGTTTGTAGTGTTAATAATTCACCACACTATGTTGTGAGTGTAAGGGTAAATCCTTTGCCTGTGCGAAGCTTAAACGAGATTTTTGGAATAGGAAATTTCTTTTGATCAAGAAGAAATTTGAAGTTAATAACATATTTATCGATGATAATGGGAAACCAACGGTTTATGTTATTATCTATAATAATATCTTCCATATAGTCACTTTTTATAATACAAGTAGAAAAAGTTAAGAGCAATTTCTTTTCTGTCAATTGTTTCAAAAATAATAGGAAGGTTTTTGACTTTTTCAGTTATTGCAGTTGCCTTAGCTTAAAGAATGTAATTATTTGAGGATTTTTTGCATTGCCTTTTATAATGTGAAGGAACAAATTATCCTCTAATAATGCTTATATTGACTACGGTATCTATTAAAGTATAAAGCGTAAAGCGTTTATATTCTGGATATGCAACTGTAATACCAATAAAACAGCTTACTCTTGTTTTTTATCCAAATTTAGAGAATGGGCATAGAATTCTATCATGATATCTTAGAGGTGATAACTGGACATCATGATTTTTCCATAGAATGTTGAATACATCTTTGTGGATTCAAGATTTCTTCAAGTTCTTTTGAAGATGAACTAGATTCATCATCTTTTCGAAAAGAGGCCTTTTGTTGAATTTGGTTGGCTTATATATGTAGTTATGATGGTATTACTAGAAATGATAAATGTTTCTTCATGCATCCCTAAATGCCTTAGATTGATTTCTAGATCAGGATCTATCTCAAGATCATTTAAACTTATAATACAAGGTTGTATTGTCTTTCCAGGTTGTACCTCGAAAAGACTAATTACTTCTCTAAATTTTTTGCTAAAGAAGGTCAATATTTGACTTAGTGCTATTACAGATTTTCATTGTATTCCAAACACTCGACTACCTGGTTTCATTTTAATACCTTTGAGATTGATATGTAATTTTGCCACATCACATATGTGAGGGTCATTAAGAGCAACAGAGTAATCCGGGTGAATATTAACACCTAGAATTTGGTTTGCTAAATTAGATTTACATACTCCTATTAAGGCATCTAATGGATTAGAGATAATTTTTTCATCCATAAAGAGTACTATAATAGGTGTATTGACACCAGACTTGACCAGTAATTTTGACTTGTACAAGTTTAATATAAAGATATTTCATATCTTTATATTTTTCTTTTAACTTGTTTATTTTTCTTTTAATTTGTTTATTTTTCTTTGATTTAGGATAGGAATGCTCTCGAAGCTATCTTCTCTATGCAATTCGTTATTAACAAGATAAAAATATAATAATGTTTATTGAAGAATTTGGTATTAAAAATACCCATTATCCTATAAACATCATTTTATGAGGTTTGGGAATGGCTAGTTTTAGCATCTCTATATCCTCATTTGAGATGGAGAATCTTTCTCCTTGAAGGTCATGCATATCTGAGTCAGAAAATTCTATATATTCTCCTGATATGTTGTTTTCTTCTTTATTCATCATATAAATTTTAGGATATTCATATTCCTCTTCACTTTCTATATCTGATTTTGATGTTACTTCATAATATGAATTTTCTGAATCTACTTGGAGTTGGTTTACTTATAGAGGCCGACCGATACGATACGGAGTTTTTCAATGCGTATTGTGTTTTTATGTTTATGTCGGATATATCAGGGGACATGTCGGATATGTCGAACGGATATATCGGGAGACAGGTCGGCTATGTCGGCTAATTTTTTAGTCTGGAAATTTGGCTGATTTTTTTATTCTTTTTGCTATGTTTATCTAATCAGGTTTGAGTTTAAATTCTTGATTGTCTTAGTATAGCTTTCAAAGACAAAACCCGATCAGTTAGAAAAAATGGCAAAAAAGACCGAAGTTATTTATGTCGCTCATCTTCTCTCTCTCCTTCGACATCTCATTGGTTTCTTCTCCGAGCTATTCCTTCGATATCAATATCGAGTGATCTTCTCTTTCCTTAACCATCAACATCGGACTCCTCTTTTCTCACTTCTTTTCTTCAACATCAACCCTAAGTATCATTAGCTATTTACTTTTTTATATGTTTAAACAATAGAATTTATTAAGTATGCTTAGATTTTATTTATGATATTTATATTACATATATGCACACCATCCGATATGACAATCCGATATGTTTTTCATGTCCCCCGACATATCTTCGATTTCTGCTATCCGACATGAATTTTAGCCGTCCGACATGAACCCGACATTCGACATTTAAAACCTTGCTCTATAAGGTCCAATCCATATTCAATTATGTCTTCACGTATAATTATTTCATTTGTATTTTTCCTTTTAGGTATTTCATTGGCACAGTAGCCAACTTCTTGGCATATGAAGCATTTGCATTTTTTCTTTGAGATTCGGGGTTTAACAGTGTATTTTGATTTTTCTTCTCATTGAGATTTCCCCTTTTGCGAAATTTTCCATTGAGAAAATTTCCTTTTTAAATTTATATGGTTTTTGAAATTCCTTTTTGTAGTATTTGTTCCTTCGGTAGGGTTGTGTGCAACCATACTCTAAAGGATATCCTTGTGTAACAAGATTGCCTAATGTTACTATCTTTAATTTGCCTTTTAGTTTGCTTAAATGTCTTAGATAGCTGACAGTACTGTTCTAGTTCTCTTAATGAAATAAGGTGAACAACTCTACTAGATCTATCATTTTTAGGGTTTTTCTTTAGATATGCATCTTCTAGAAGATTATCTCATGGTTTGCATAGTTTCCTAAAAACTTATTCTGTCTACCAGTCCATTCGTAGCTTATTTTCAAGCCGATAGACTAGCTTAAAGCGATCCATTAGAAATTCTTCTATATAGCAGATCTGACACTACTATCTAAATTTCATAGGTGCCCTCCAGATAGCAACCTCTGCAACCCCTAACAATATCTTATTACACGACGGGACAATTTTGTAAGTCTAAATTTCATAGGACGCCTACAATATCAATATGCACCATGGCATCTAATAATATCCCGAATATATCCGCGATACCTGCTACACTTAGAACACTGACACTGTTTAAAATGGAGGGGGGAAAAACAATCATGCTTTTTCCAGAAGGGGAAAGGAAAAGGTAAGAATCAATCACACACCAGAATATAAAATGGAGGGGGAAAAACAATCATGCTTTTTCCAGAAGGGGAAAGGAAAAGGTAAGAATCAATCACACACCAGAACGCAGTGACAGAGGTGAAATCGTTGGTGGCCGCCATGGCGCAGAGCGCCGCAACAGCAAACAAGAACTGGAACAGCCTCAGCGCGAGCCCTAAATGTGTCCCCGGCATCCCCTGCGAGTCCTTCATCCTCACCCTCGCCGGAGCCTCCGCCGCCTCCGTCATCGGCG